TCTCTCTCTCTCTCTCTCTCTCTCTCTCTCTCTCTCTCTCTCTCTCTCTCTCTCTCTCTCTCTCTCTCTCTCTCTCTCCCTCTCTCCATCTCTCACACTGATTCTCTCTCTCTCTCTCTCTCTCTCTCTCCCCCTCTCTCTATCTCTCACACTGACTCTCTCTCTCTCTGCCCCTGCAGCTGGTCGCGTTCATCCTAATTGGAGTCGCCGGCTACAGCAAGGCATCGAGCGTCATCACCAGCATCACCGTCATCGGCGGCATCATCGCCTGCGGGGTCTTCCTGCTGCTGCTCGCCGTGGTCGGACTCATAGGTGCCATCAAGCACCACCAGGTGCTGCTGTTCTTTGTATCCTTGCATAGTGAGAAAGTAGTGAGACACGAGATATAATCACGTAGAGTCGGGGGTTAATATTATGACAAATGATTATGACAATTATTAAAAGACAAATTATTATGACAGTGATAAATGCAATTGTTTGTCATTATTAACCCCTGATAGAGTGTAACTCGGTAGGAAGTGTGTGTGTGTGTGCGTGCGTGTGTGTATGTGTGTGCATGCGTGCGTGCGTGCGTGTGGCGCACACATGTTGCTCTTCTTCGTATCCTGGTCTCGTGAGCGAATGACAGAGTGCAAATCGGTAGGAAGTAAATATGTGAGCACGTGTGCGTGCGTGCGTGCGTGCGTGCTTGCGTGTGTATGAGCACGTGTGTGTGTGTGCGTGCGTGCGTGCGTGTGTATGAGCACGTGTGTGCGTACGTGTGTGAGTATGCATCAGGTGTTGCTCTTTTTCGTCTCCTTGTCTAGCCAGTAGCCAGCGACTGGCATACAGTCAAGTGATACAGTGTAACTCGGTATATAGTAGGAGGAAGTGAGTGTGAGAGTACGTGTGTGAGTATGCGCCAGGTGTTGCTCTTCCACGTATCCTTGCTTATATATGCAAGAGTGACGTGTTGTAAGAGATTCACGTTGAATAGAACGGGGTAAGAAGTGAAGTGAGTGTGTGAGCACGTGGGCGAATATGCACGGGTGCTGTGTGTGTGTGTGTGTGTGTGTGTGTGTGTGTGTGTGTGTGCGTGCGTGCGTG